ACCATCAGAGTCATCCCAGGCCCTTGCTGAAGTTCATGAAGGTGTGTGCGGGAATCATCAAGGAGCCAGGGCCTTGGCCTTTAAGCTCGTACGATATGGGTACTATTGGCCAACCATGAAAAAAGACGCCTCAGAATATGTTAAAAGATGTGATAGGTGCTAGAGGTTTGGTAATGTTATCCACTCACCAGCCGAAGACCTCACCAACATTAACTATTCGGCCCCGTTTGAACAATGGGGAGTTGATATCCTCGGCCCCTTTCCTGTGGCAAGAGGTCAATTAAAGTTTGTTGTTGTAGCAGTAGAGTACTTCACAAAATGGGTAGAGGCCGAACCTCTCGCCACAATATCGGAGCCCAAGCTAAGAGCCTTCACTTGGAGATCTATCATTTGCAGGTTTGGGATACCAAAGGTCCTCATCACCGACAATGGTAGGCAATTTGACAATCAACAGTTTAGGGACTTTTGCTCAAACCTTGGGATTGATCACCGTCTGACATCAGTTTCGCATCCTCAGAGTAATGGTCTGGCCGAGGTAACAAATCGAATCATATTACAAGACCTCCGAACAAGAATAGGCAATGCTAGGGATTCTTGGTCCGATGAGCTGCCTTCTATACTTTGGACGTATAGAACAACCACAGGAGAAACCCCCTTTATGTTAGCCTATGGCATTGAATTAATGGTCCCGGTGGAAATTAGACTCCCGAGCCATAGGAGGCTCGTGCCAGAAACCTCGGAGCATACAACTGAACATCTTGATCTCTTGGAAGAAGTGCGGGAGCAAGCCACTATAAAGGTGGCCTCTTACCAAACTAAGACAGCAAAACATTTTAATAACAAAGTCAAGACTCAGAGGTTTAGAGCAGGCGACTTGGTCCTGAGGAGGGCCGAAGCTGCAGGTCACCCACCAGGGAAGCTCGGGCCCATCTGGGAAGGACCCTTTGAGGTTAAACGACAGGTTCGCAAGGGAGCATACAGTCTAAGAGACACTTCGGGTACACCTCTTCCAAGGCCCTGGAATGCTGATAATCTGAAAATATATTTCAAGCAACATTCTCGATAACATCTAGGAGATTTTCTTTTTATTCCTGCATTTCTTCTTCTGAATATTATTTTTGGTTCCTCGGGCCTGCGCGCCCTTACATTTTATTTCTCTAGTTTAGTGGGCCTGCGTGCCCAAGCATGTTTTCTGTTTTCTCTCATAATGAACTATGTTCGGCTTGATCCCGTTTGGGTATGTAGACAGCTTGGATACAATATAAATCTAAGTCCAGTCCGAGAAATTAGTAAATTCAAACCTCAGGTATAACAGCCCTTTAGTTTACTTTGCGCCCAGGAATCACCAAAGCCTTGCCCCGCGTAAGCACAAAAAGCCTTGCCCCGAGCAAGCACTCAAAAAAGCCTTGCCCCGCGCAAGCACAAAGCCTTGCCTCGAGCAAGCACTCAAAAAAGCCTTGCCCCGTGCAAGCACCAAAGCCTTGCCCCGCGCAAGCACAAAAAGCATTGCCCCGCGCAAGCACAAAAAGCCTTGCCCCGAGCAAGCACCAAAGCCTTGCCCTGCACAAGCACAAAAAGCCTTGATCATATACTCAAGTATAAACCGTTATAGTATCACCCGGGGACATACAAAAATCCTACATCATTTTCGACAATCCCTCGAGGATATCACATGAGCAAATAACAACTATTTAAGTTAGTTGTGCTCGAGGTTTACAGTCCTCGAGAATATCACAACCCAGCTTTTTAAGTTAGTTGTGCTCGAGGTTTACAGTCCTCGAGAATATCACAACCCAGCTTTTTAAGTTAGTTGTGCTCGAGGTTTAGAAGTCCTCGAGAATATCACAACCCAACTTTTAAGTTAGTTGTGCTCGAGGTTTAGAAGTCCTCGAGAATGTCACATTATCATATTATTTTTTAAGATTAGTTGTGCTCGAGGTTTACAGTCCTCGAGAATGTCACATTATCACTTTTTAATCCCTTAAATATGCTCGAGTTGTGGAATCCTCGAGTAAACTCTTCAATGTCGCATGAGCAGTTAATTTCCAATTTGTTTGCTCGAATATATGAAGTCTAAGGGGTCGAGATAAATAGCTCAAATAAATTAACTTTAGAACATACATAGTCCTCGATCAAAATACATGTTCAAAGTTTAAACAAAAATTACAAGAGATCGGGGTGGGGAAGTCATCCAATGTGGCCAAGAGGAGGGTCGAGGTTGCTGATGTTGATCTCAACGTCGTCCTCAAGACCGTCCTCATCATCTCCGCCCGATCCTCCTCCATCTTCCGAACCCGAGAGCTCCAATGTATCAGCAATGGAAGGCACTGTCTTCAAGTCGTCCGGAGTAACGTCGGGCAACTTCTGACGGAGGAAGGCCTGGGCTTCTTTCAGAGCATGGAAGTACGCCCCCGATGCGTACTCCCCTTTTATCTTGTCACAATCCTCGGAGGTTTTAAACTCGTCCCAGGCCCTCTCCCTGACAGCCGCGAGCTCGCGCTCAAAATTCTCTGTCTTCTGGATAAGCTCGAGCCTCGCACCCTCGACCTCATCCTTTGCTACAACAAGGTCATCCCTGGCCTTTGCAGCCTCCATCCTCACGTCATCACGCTCCTTCAATAAAACCTCGATCTGAGCCTCGAGGTCTTGAATCCTACTGTCCTTGGAGGCCATGGACGTCTCGACACCAGCTGCCCTCTTGGCCTCCTCGAGCCCTTGCAGAGAAAGTCCTCGAGCTACCCTCAACATCTGGAAAAAATGAAGAAAATGTTAAGTATTAATCTCGACCAAAAAACTTGAGGCTAAAGTCAAAAGTTCGAAGACTACCTTCACTGTAAGACCCTCGAGGACCTTCATCCCATCCTCGAGCTTGTCCTCCTCCTTGTATTTGTTCACGAGATCAGGAGCGAGGTGGCAAGTCTCAAAGTCCCCCGTAAGAGACGGGTCATCCTCAAGGTCAACCACTTCAGAAGGAGGCCGAGGAGTGACGATCCGAGGAGTGGGAGATCTAAGGTTCGGTTGCAGAGGGGTCGAGACTTGAGGATTTGCTCGAGAAGTTTCGGCAGGCCCCCTCACACCCTCAGGAGTTCCTCGAGGCCTCTTCTTGCCTTTCTTCCTTGGGGGCTGCCCCTGTGGATGTGCGTCTGTCCTTGTGCTGACAAAGTTCTGAAGAGCCCGAGGATTGAAAGACATACCTGCAAAAATTTACAATCATTTTAGAACGAGCACAAGGTCAGGCTATTTTTCAAAAAATAATAATAATAATAAAGGAACATCCCTACCCTCGACTCCTCTAATATCTGCCAGGTCTATAACCTCTTCCCCAATCTCCTTCATTGTCGAGAAAAGGGGGCTGAGCCCGACCAGCATCCTCCTATGCTCTTCCAAAACATCCGGATACACCTGGCCCTCACAGAACTTCTCGACGTCGGGGATTCCCCAATCAGGCCAGAAAGGAAGGTCGGGTTCTTGGGCTATAACATAAAACCACCCCTCCCTCCACTCCTTCAAAGAGCTCGCCATCCTCAGGACTTTAAAACCCCCAATCGTCGAGAGATAGCCAAAACAAGTGTATCGAGGATGCTTCTTAAGCTCGAACACTAATTTACTGAGGCCAACGTTGGGCTCGATACCTAAGTATCTACATGCTATAAAAAAATAAACGAGCATTCTCCAGGCATTGGGCACTAACTGCCTCGGGCACATGGAGTGCTCGACTAATAGAGCAATAAAGAAGGGGTGAAGGGGCCACCTAAAGCCAGCCTTAAGGGTCTCCCTAAAAATAACAAACTCCCCTCGTCGTGCTCGAACAATCCTATCCTCGGGGTCAGGAAATCTAACATCACAATTAGGCATTATACCGTATTCCCTAGCTGCAGCTATGACTGAGTGCTCATTAAGCCTGCAGGGTTCGTCGGGATACTCAAAAACTATATTAACCTGAGCCTCGGGAGTAGCCTCTAGGGGAATAGCCGTCGGTATTATCGAGGTCTCTACGTCCTCACTACTACTAGAACTACTAGAAGAATCTTGACCCTCACTACTCGACATCACTTAGCAAACTTAAGACCTAGCTTATGAATAACTTAAAGTCTCGAGCCTTACCTGGAGTTCCCGATGACTTGAGAAGTTCCTAAAGTGTTTCTCTCGAGCACGACCTCGCAGAACTCTGATTTATAGTGGGTAAAAGTGAAAAATAAAGGTGAGAACAACAGTATTTATAGGTGAAAACGATGGGAGGCCAAAGGTCGCTATCTACGACCGTCCACGAAGACACGTGTCACAAATCCAAGCCACTCTCTGCAACGGTCATATCTCGACCTATATCATCAGCCATCACTTCTCGACGACGATTCGAGAAATGACATAATGCATGTGCACCCCATCCTAAGAGCTCGATCTGTAGGACGAGTGCACGGGGGCCAGTGACGATGCCAATATTGATATACCCCGAGGAGTGCATCCCGAGGACTCCATATATACCCCATCTCATCTCTCTGCTATGGTCCTCGGGGTCTCCCTAAGACCTCGAGGTATTTTTGTCCTCGAGATACCTCGAGGACATATTAACATCCTCTCAAGTCCTCGAGACATATACCACCAACATACCTCCTAAGACCTGGGTATCTAACAAACAAACCTAAACACCCAAGGATTCTACATCAACCCTTATACCACTTGTCAAACAATTCCATTACAAGTAGGACACTCTTTCTAAATAGAAATTCCCTTGGATAAAAACATCCAATCAGCACAATCCTACTAGGAGTACACTACCTACCCCTATAAAAGCAGAACCTTGGGCCATTATTCAAGTACGTTTTTCATTGTTCTTCAGCACATAGCCTCATGCATATATTTTCCTTTCTGACTTAAGCATCGGAGGGGCGACGAGAACATATCTCGTTGCCTTTGTTTCAGGTACGGGAAGACCACTATCGTGATCAACCCGAATCATCAAACTCGGAAAATCAGCAGATACGATTTTTGGTAGCATCAAGACTCGAACAGACTCTAAATATTCCTAAATTTGAAAAGCTTTTAAGATTTGTATAATTTTGCAAATTTCAGAAACATTTGAAGGCTGAAGATTACGCTCACTTCTTGAAGCTTCTCTGTGAACATGGAGATACGAGAAATAGTATTGAGAATTTATGCTCTGAGGTATCGTTTAATCATTTAAATTTTTCTAGTGGACATGAACTTTAAGTTAATATTCAGATATTGTCCATGAATTCCTAACTATAACTTAATCCATGAATGACAACAGGTGTAGGACTTGTACATTCAGTGCATTTGGTACATAGAATTAAACTGTATTAAAAAGTACAAAAGATGAGAGTGTAACTTTTAGTTTCCATTGCTGTCTAATGCACCTCACAAGACACCCTCATGTTCACAATTATGCACTTAGTAGCGGTTTTCGCATTGGATAGTGGGTATTGGGAACTTTTTCCTTGAACTTTGAAGTTGTTTTTAGGTAAATTCGTAAGTGCAGTACTAAGGTCCCTCGCTCTTCCAGATGCGTAGCAGCTTTTTGTTTATTTATACTATCGTTGTATATAGTGAAGATTAGGCCCTTTTTGACCCACATTCTTTAAAAAAAAAAAAAAATATATATATATATATATGTATATACCTTCTTAGATAGTGATTTTACATTATTTCGACTAACATTTTTCAATAAAATAATATTATATACAAATCCAAAACTTTTTCTTATTTTTCAACCATACATTTCTTACCAATACACTATTCAAAAATGCATTCTTATGAAAATAATGTGGCTCAAACATGGGCTATATGATTTTCATTCTCTTAGCGATCAGAATGTGTTGAATTACGGGGAAATTTTATTGGATAGTTATAATTTTTCTATTGCTTCCTAGATCTTTGCTTACTGCTCAACCCATTGCAGATCGGCAGTTTTCTCAGTTGTGAGCCAGATCTGATGCAAAAGTTCAACTCCTTTTTACCTGCCTTCGAAGCCAATGATCACTGAATATGAGATATCTCAATAAAAGCTGAATGAAAATCGAAGACAAGATTCGTGCTTCCTTACATGGACCTTTTTACTTAATTTATGTGAATTCTTACTGAAGACAGATTTGTTGAATGGAATTTTATCCCCTGCACTCATTCATCTAATAATGACATCTTCAAGAACAGAAGGGAACTTAGACCTCATGATATAGTATTTGCGGAATAGTGCTTATCCTTTTGCTATTCTTAAAATACTCTTAATATGTGAATTTCGGTTTCTAAGTGTGGCCATTTTTACTTTAGTGTGGTAGGTTCAATTAGAGTGAATTGTATAATATAGTATAAATTGTTTAATCGTTTTAATACTAACACTTTGGAAGATAGCATTTCAACTTGAGACATTGAGATATAACCTTTATTTCCATTAATCAGTTCAAGATGATTAGCAATTGTATTCTAACATAATTTGTTAATTTCCATGGCACTCAAATGTGTGCAATCATATATCGTTTTAAAGTATGATTAATTTTATAGCACGATTCAAGCATTTATCATATCAGTCACATAGACTGATAGCATAACCCAATTACACAACACATGATGTAATGTGATAAATCTCTAAGGAAAACATCCACGAACCTCATACCACGAGTAAATAATTTACTATAGAAAAATAATACAATCTCCCGATAAACTTTTAAATTACAAATTAAAATTAAAAGTAAACAAAACCACGAACAACTAATGACTTCTCTCATTTTTAGCTTTCTCAATTCGTTTAAGAGTGGAATCAAAGCAACGAACTTATTCTACCAACACTCCTATATTGCACAAGGACTTCACCACAAATCCAAATAAGAGCTCCATTCTTATTTTAAAGCCAAAATGCCTTTTTCTCTATATTGATTCAATTCATTTTTTAAGAATGATTGCCTTCAATCCCAATTGAAGGAACAAGAGAATTCCAAGAACTTGTAGTATGAAAACTTAGTCATCCTATTATTTTATGTAATAATCACGTGGCCCGATTTTTTCGTTCTAGACATTCAATTATTTTCTTGGAGTTCTCTATCAGTGGAAATTACATGGAGGCAGGTTCTTTAAATTCCGATTTCATAAATCAAGTTTTAGGTTTGTTTATACAAAATCAGGTGATAATTCCACATTTTAATATTAATAATAATATAAAATTAAGTTAATCTATATACCCACCTACCTCCATCCACCCCATCAAATTTCATTCTCAAATCCTAAATCTTTCCTCATTCTTCTTTTTCTCTATCTTCCCTCTTTCCCTTCTCTTTATGCGCCGTTTTCTCTTTCTCCGATTTAACGGTAGAAATAATCCTTGCTGATTTCATAGCAGTGGCGCTCGACGCCGCTGCTGCTACCAAAGCTACCGTTCATATAGCGTTCAATGGTGCGCCTAAGAGAAATTAGGTTTGGGTATTATTGGTAGTGGCGTAGGTGTTGGCGGCAGTGACAACAGCAACAATAACGGTAGCAATGGCGATGGAGTGGGTTGGAGAGTCTTTGTGATCAATTATATGGGGGTGTTGTACTGTAATCATTAATATCTGACCTAAAAAAATTGTTTTATGACTAAATTTATAGCCATGACTTAAAATTTGTGACGATTTATTCGAAAATTTGTGATTTAGAAATAATTTGTGATCAATTAATTTGATAATTTGTGACCGTAAGATAAATTATAATTTATAAAATTGTGATTTGTAATCGATAAATAAATTGTGACCCATAAATTTTTTTATTTGTAATCGAGAAATAATGTATAATCAATTAATTAATAATATGTGACTGATAATTAAGTTGTCGTGTATAAGTACGTAATTGTAACACAAAAAGTTGTATAATTGTGAGCTTAAAATATTTATTTATTTAATAGAATTTAATAACAACATGATTTTTGAAATAATAAACCTAATTTCTTAATTTTGAAATTGTATTTTGCAACTACTTATTGTGTAATGTTCCCTCTCTATTAATTAAAGAGAAGCGCCCCTAAGAAAATAAGACTCCTCCTCGAAATAAAACAATTTTGATCACACTAATAACACGTTACACCAAAAAACGAGCATTTCCTCAATTGAGATTGCATTGGATTTTAAATGTCATTTTAAATTTAAGTATTTTCAATTGAGATTTTATTAAATTTTAATTAAATTCATTAAAATTTAGGTGTCCCCAATTAAAATGTTAATGAAATCCTTTAAAATTTAGGTATCCTTAATAATTAGTGGATTCATAAAAATTTTTACTAATAGAATGATTTTAAAAGATTTGGATGGATTTCAAGTTTAAAAATACATATAAGCAAATTTTTAAAAATTTCATCATATTTGATGAGATTCTTAAGAAATTTGTAAGAATCCATTTAAATCCACCAAATTCATTAGAATTTATAATCATTTAAAATTCATTAAAATTTTAGTTGAGAACACCCCTGTAAATCATAATTCTATATAATTTTTTTAAATTGACAACGAAGTCTCAAGGAAAGTCCCATAAATCTTGTATTCCCTAAAGTTTTCATTCTCTAATAAAAACTCAAAGACGAATTTATCGTAATCTTGAAGTAGAATATTTTGGAAATTTTGAAAATTCCTCTAGTTCTTTATATATGTGACCTCACTAAGATGTATAATTCACTCTACGTGTGAATTCACTAAGCCACGAGTTCACTAATGAGTCTAGATGTATGGACTAACTAAATCACTAGTTTAGTTCCCTCCTCCTAGTCCATATAGAGTTGATTTTCTTTCTTGCACAATTTTTTTTATAATGAATGTTTAAAACCTAGGTAATTACTAGTTAATTTTTAACATTTGGATTTAATTATTGGTTGGCAATTTATTGAAATTAGTTCTAACTTTATGCGGATACTATTGATTAATCGACCTCAATTCAAAATTAGTTCTGCTGCTCACGTATACTCTCACAGTTAACCAGTTTGCAACCAAGCTACATAATCTCGTGATTCACCAATATGACAATAATATACGGAAAAAAGAATAACTCAAGTACGGAATACATGATGTAACATGATAAACTTGTAAGCAAAACACCTACGACCCCTTGTCACGATAAATAATTTACTAAATTGAAAAAGGATACATTCATCTTAATAAACTTTGGAATAAAGACCAAAAATAAACAAAATCAGGAACAACTGATAACTTCTCCCATTTTTATCTTTCTCGATTTGTTGAGGAATGGAACGAAGTCAAAGAACTTGTTCTACTTTCACTCCTATGATAGCACCTGGACTTCAACATAAATTGGAATAAGTACTCTATCTTTATTTTAATCTTGAAATGCATTTGCTTTGTGTGTGTTTGTATTCAATATGCTCTACAAGAATGATGACCTTCAATAAAAATTGAAGGACCAAAAGAACGCTAAGAACTTGTAATTTAAAAATCCAGGAGCCTGCCTCTACTTTTTTTCTTTAACAGCCATGTGACCATATTTTTTGTTGTTAAAGATGCTCATCTATTTTCTTAAGTGTTAAATCCCACGTTGGTTAAATACCGAAATATTGACCAACTTAAATAATAGATTTTGAGCCACTCCTCATAAAGTTGACCTTATTAAGATGGACCTCAAATCTTAACATGGTATCAGAGCCCAATAAGCTCCAATAAGCTATTCGATCCGATTAAATCTAAAAAATGAGTACATAGATTTCAAGATTGGTCTGTTAAAAAAAGACACCATCTTATGGGGGCATGTTAAGGAAATAAAATCTCACATCAGTTAAATACCAAAATATTGATCAACTTAAATAGATTTTGGGTCACTCCTCTTAATAAGGTTGACCTTATTAAGATGAACCTCAAATCTTAACATTAAGAGTTCTCTATTAATTGAAGGAAAATATTCCTAAGAGAAAAAGCTTGCTACCCAAAGTATTCATCATGAACGTAGGAAAAAAATTTTGAGCAACCTAAGTCATTATCTTAGATAATCTTTTAAATTGATAAGAAAGGTTAAACGAAGTCCAGTAAATCTTCAATTACTTAAAGTTTATCTTACATAATAAAAATATAAAGATCATCAAAAACTTCATGTTAATTATATTTTCTGTAAGTGTATGAATCGTAATAAGTAATAAAATGGACCTAAGAGTTCACGTGATCATTTCCGTAAGGATTGCTATCTAACCATTGGTTAAATTATTTTCAGCTTCAATTTAATTGAAAAAAAATAGAAGGTGTATATCTTGTTTTTATTGTTAAATGTAATTCTCAAAAACAATAAAGGATGATTTTTTAATGATAGTTTAACTGGGATTCACGAATTCACCATGGCTATCACTTTAGTTTTAATCACCAATTTTTATAACAATTGATTATGTGTACCTGTCAAATTAGTCTTAATGTATTCAATTTACGTCTCTGAAGTTCAAATTGATTCTATTTAGTTAAGTCAATTTCATATCTCTACGTGAATTCAGATACAACTTAGTTAAACACCTTAAAATTATAAGAATACATTTAACGATCGCACTAATTAGAAAATGCATTTCTCACTTTTATATTCATTATACTACATGGTCTAAATAAATAATCTGTCTCTTAACATAATTATCGCTCACAAATCAATGAATTAAAAGCCAATTAATCCAAAACATTAAATGTAAATGTAAAAACAATTTACAATATCAATTGGAGATTTAAAACTTTTTAATTAAAATTAAGGTTCAAAACTAGGTCACAATCGTTCATCATATTACTTAGTTACACATTATGGGAGAAGATTATAACAAGAAAGAATTAAAGTATATCATCAAGCTTTAAGGGAAAACGGGAAAAAAAATGAAGATCTTGCACCAAAATTCCAGCTTCTTCTTGTAAAAATTAGCTCTTTATTGATTATAATATGTGTATAATGAAGCCTCAGCTTAGATATATGTGTGTAATAAAATTCTACGAGACTCCTTTAATTGTT